GATTAATTCTGCTTTCATATCTGACTTAGTATAAATCTGAGAAGCCTCCCTTTCTAAAAGGAGTGCTGCCCAAATTTCTACTAATTCAGAGAGTTAGACAGAATTCGACTTTCCAGAGTTAGAGATTATTTCTGCTCTCATATCTCGGCTTATATAAATTATGAAAAGACACTTTTCCTACGGGAAGCGCTGCCAAAATTTTCTTAGTTTAGAGGAGATAAATTATATTTTGATAGGTGATTCAGGCGATCCACCCAGAATAGGGGAGACTTTGTAGTTGGTCTACCTTCAGCTTAAGCACTGAATTAAAAGTAAACTTAGATTTAGCTAATAAGGAAGTTTTTGAGTGAGGATGTATTATGGAGTTTTATTCTCCATACACTTATGATCTTAGCTTGGGGATTGGTCTGCCGTGTGTTACAGGTCCTTTTGATCATTTGATCCAAGTTCAGGGCTAGATTCAGCTTGATCCCTTAAGGATCACTTACTGTTATCACTGATAACAGGTCGGTTGCCGATTCGTCGGTCTACGACTCAATTTCAACTATCCCTCTACACTCAACCTAAAAGGCTTTAGCCTGGTGATTTCGTGGTTTTATTAAGGTTTCACCCACACTTTTATTGAATGACTATTTAACAAAGGTGCTGAGTATTTAATTAAGGTTGGTTGGAAAGGAGGTTTGGGGCTTACATGGCTAAAGCGAGGGGTATGAGTGTCGAAGGTGGTTGGGGTTGACTTCGTGTAGTGTGTGGGCTGTTGATTTGGTTCGTTGATGTGATGGCAGGTATGTGCTGTGAAGCAGATTCTGAATCTGGTTGCCTACGATCACACATATACATATTATTGTGAGAAACCCCAGTGAGACCGTGAAAAGTGATCGTCACATACTTAACCCTTATATATATATATATGGGTATACTTGGGATGAATGTTTGCATGGGTTGAAGAGCCCCCACATTAGAGCCCCATTCAGAAGCTGAGACTGAGGGGCTTAGAGGAGGTCTCTCCTTTTATTCTTGTCTCTTGCTTTTTGATGATTTTCTTAGTCGGACGTTTGGTCCTGGGCTGGGATTCGAGGTCCTTGTCCAGGACATCCCAAGCCCTAGGCTCTGCATGGGAGAGCCTATTTGATTTACCTACCGAGACACTCAGGTCGAAAGCCTAAGGTGCAGCGGCGGTTGCACGACTTTTCCTTCAGCCGTGCAATGTCGTGAAGGGTTAGGCCTTCACGACACTTCAAGTCTGACACTTGAGTGTCATAAGCGGTACTCGGATCCACGAGGGACCGCTTGATTATGGGCACTACATAGTACGCCATCGTGGCGACTGCTTGTGTATGCCTGCATTGCCAGTCGATATGAGTATGCCTTGCGTCCGCGCGGTTTTATACTAGGTTCAGCGCGTGACGCCTATCCGATTTCTGCACTGGAAAGTTATGGGTTGGCTACTGAGGGACTAGGAGCGTTGTCGCGTTGTTGGTATTGTGTCGTTTCGTATATATGTTGTTTTGTGTGTATGTGTGTTCGCAAAGCGGAGTGCGCGTGGTGTGTGTGGGATGCGTCCTAGTCGACCGACGATGAGTCGCGTCTGGGACCTCAGCCCCCCCAAGATGTCGGTTCGCGTGCGGGTCCGATAGAGGCGTATTACCGCGCGTACCCCCTATGCTACAGCGAACGAGAAACGCCCTCGGCTGGTCCACCTCTGCGATTGCAACTGATTAGCTTTCGTACTGTGGATTGGTAGCTCGGCGGGGATACGCCCACCGAAGGGAGGTGACAGCTC